GCTGCCTCTTTCTCGTAGAAGAAACATTTTGTAAGTCAATCGCTTCACTATCGCAATTTTCAGGACACATTTTCAGATGAGCTCCACTCCACTTAAAGGTTGATCCAAGTCAAGTGTGTGAAATTGAGCCGGCGAAACTGTTCGAAAACCGTCGATATTTGTGCTATCACGAAAGTCTCATATACTCACTTAATGGCAAAAAGAAGTTCTTTAGTTTTAGATGGTAATATATCTAGAACGAGTGTCCCCTTAAAAATACCTGTCCCCCAGTAGCACAGACATTCGTGGTGATGTATGAAAAAACAACCCACATGTTGGGATGTCATAAATACGCAAAATACCTGAAATACTTGAATAAAGGAATGTCATATGAATTTAAATTTCCCTTAAGCGGAAATAGTGAGCACAATTTGAATGAAGGAATAGTGACGTACTAGCAATGAAAGTAAATTAATGCTGTTGTCTGGCTAGCTACGACTCTTATCACGAGTTCAGGTTTTTCCAGTCTTTTTTCCTAGGCTATTATGGAGCGTTTCATGTGCTCTCATATCGACTGCAACAATGTTATTTTCTAGTTGTTGTCTGGATAGCCACGACCGTTCTCTCGAGTTCAGGTTTCTCCTAGGCTATTATGCATCGTTTCCTGTGTTCTCATATCGACTGGAACAACTATCACTTTCATGTTGTTGTCTGGATAGCCACGACTCTTTCTCGAGTAAGGCTTCTCCAGTCTTTTTTCTTAGGCTATTATAGATCATGTCCAGTGCTCTCATATCGACTGGAACAACCAGCAATTTCATGTTGTTGTCTCTTGTGTTCAAGTTTCTCCAGTATTTCCTCCTAGGCTATTCTGTATCGTTTCCTGTGTTCTCATATCGACTACAACAACTATCACTTTCATGTTGTCTGGATAGGCACGACCCATCTCTCGAGTAAGGCTTCTCCAGTCTTTTTTCTTAGGCTATTATAGATCATGTCCAGTGCTCTCATATCGACTGCAACCACTGTCACTATTATGTTTCTCAAATTCTTCAGCCATCTGACAGAGTCGAAGTACTTATCAGTGTTCAATTTATTTCAGATTTATTCTTTTGCTTTTATGAAAAAATTATTTTAATAGAATGGTTCCAGTTATAAATACTGATTTATTGGGTGGCTGACGAAACTTTTGTTATATTTTCAACACTAAGAGAAGAAAAGAAAAGAAATGTCTGTATTGTTCAAGTCATATTTAAAAAAAATACATGCATAGAAATTTACAAAAATTATAAGCCCTTGCACAAACGTCTCTTGTCTTGTAATGAAAACGACTGTACTGTTAATCAACGCGTCAAAACAAATAAAACGTAGCTAGCATGAATGGCATACAACTGAAATTTTCGTAATATTTTGGTGATAGTAATCATCTTCGAATATTATTATTATTGTTATTATTATTATTATTATTATTATTATTATTATTATTAGCAGTAATATAGGATGTGAGGGTAGAATAACATATATAGGTAATGTGAGGAAGTTGGTATCGTCGTGCCGATTTCAAATTCTTAAAAAAAGCATATATCCATCTTCGTCAAGTTGGACAAAGGTATGGTCTGTCCTCCCTTACCCATGGGTTAAAAGCATATCAGACTGGGTTTTCTTGTCTTCAGTGGTAGCCAGTCTAGAAGAAGGAAAACTCTGAATTCGAATCCACCTAAATAATAGGGCACGCTGATTCCCCTTGCCTTGGTAGAGAAGCCAGTCTAGGAGGAGGACATCTTTGAAGTCAAAACACGCCTTAAAAGTGATGAGCTCCATCGGGCTATCCTGTCCTAGAAAAACCTACTGCTAATATATTTGCTCTACAAGTCTTGTCTCTACAACCCAAATGCCTCATCGTATTATTAACCTTCTTCTTCTTCTTCTTCTTCTATATACCACGTTCTCTCAGTACATATTCGATCATGGCTCCCCACAACGTTCTATCTTTTGTGGCTCTTAGCAGTTTTTCTCCCTTTTTAAGACCTCGTCCTCAGTTCCGATAAGTCTCGCTGTTTTCCTCTGTCATACTTTTCTTCAATATGTTCCGTGCAGGTTCAGTTTTCAAAAGCTCCCTTTCCTTTCTTATGGTGATTTTCTAAACGTAAAAGTATGGGGCACTCAGTGAGAATCGAACTCACTCTTTAGTCATAATTTTTCTAGCGAGACAAGCTTGAGAACCATTACAGCACGTCGAGGTGCCTCGACCTTTCTCATTATGTGCGCAATGAATTTCAGCTGATTTTGAGTATAAGTGTTCTTTTTGTTGTCATTTCCTTTAAGAATTCCTTGTTGCTTACTCGTTCCGTCCATAGAATATTTAATTTTCTTCTTTAGAACAACATTTCTGATGAGTCTAGTTTTTTTGTTTTGTTTTTTTTTTACTCATCCTTTGGGAAATGGCCTAACAGTCATTGCCATAAAAGAGGATGGATACCAGCACTCTTTTCTATTATTATTATTAGATTTCGTACGTTAGAATGTTTTCATCAAGCTAAAGAGATTATATATATATATATATATATATATATATATATATATATATATATATATATATATATATATATATATTGTATAAAATAAACACTTTTTATCCTCAGCCTATGAACTTATTGATATACGTACGTATTCTTGCATACATTGATAGCCACGAATATACATATGCCTGCATTGCCCTTATACCTCGCAAATATTCTTCGTTCAATGAGTTGCTATTTTAATCGACTGTTTATGTAAATCATAAACAACACTTAACAGTAGTATTAGACGAAATAGTATATGATATAATAGTATTATTAGATGTAATAGCACTAGATGTAATAGTATTAGTTGTAATAGTAGTATTAAATGTAATAGTATTCAAATTTCATAAAACAGTGGTTTTCAAACCAATCCTCCAATGCAGGGGATTTTAGGGAATTCACTGAGAAATTAGAATCATAGATTAACAGAAGGACTGTGCGAATAATGATCTTTTTGAGATTACAATTCTACAATATATATTTTGATGTTTCTAGCTTAAAAGTAGGGAATAAAATGCTGAAATATGGTAGAAAAAGGTACCTAAGAAATAAAAAGAAATTGTTAAGCGCCACTGTCTCATGGAAAGTGTTGTTTTATTTTTCTCATTATGAATTGTTTTTCTTACATCTAATTTTTGATGCATTTTATCAAAGCTCTAAATCTTCCATTCTAAACTCGTTAGAAAGCCGTAAAAATGATTAGTAATAAACATCTTTAGTTCATCCTAACTGAATGTATCACATCAAGCAACAGTTGAGACATAAACTAATATTATACTAATTATTATCGAATGATTCTATTCTATAAAATCTGGTACCAATTACAAATATAATAAGAAATACTATTTTAGTTTCCTACAAAAAAATTAGTATTAATTATAGGTTTATAAAAATTTGGTATTAATTATAAATGCCGACCGTAAAGATCAGTATTAATTATAAAAATAAAAATTCTGGCATTAATTATAGATTTACCAAAAATCCTGTCTTAATTATAGGTTTACATAAAAATCGGTATTTATTATAGGTTTACAAAAAATTCGTTATTCATTTTAGGCTTACAAAAAATTCAGAATTATAGGTTTACAAAAAATTCGTTATTAATTTTAGGTTTACAAAACATTCTGTATTAATTATAGGTTTACAAAACATCGGCTTTATTTATCAGTTTATAAAACATTCGGGATTAATTATAGGTTTCTAAAAACATTCAATATTAATTATAGATTTACAAAAATTCAGTATTAATTATAGGTTTACAAAAAAACCTGTTTCCATCTCTAATCCGTTAATACTCATTATATTCACGATGGGCGTTCATTTCTAAAAGAATAATAATTATAATTGTATAACTATTATGATTAGAATTAGGAAAAATTAATAAGTTCGAAACTTTGAGAAATATATTAAGAAAATATATTTATTAAGATTTGTCTAAAACTGGGCCAAATTTTGGAAAATGGCGTAGATGGAAATATTGGGTTGCATTTTTTTTTTAAGTCAATGTAGATTTTACTTAGAATCGAACGTCGACCACAAGGAAATAGGTTACTATCTCAGCCACGAAACTAACTCAAAGTAGAACAATATAACAACAATTGCATCAGTAAAAGTAGTTTTGAACTTTATTTTAATTATTTGTTTTGGATCGACAATGCCAACGTGCTAACATTTATAAACTTAAAATCTATGTTACGTAAAAGTGAAAAAAATATGAAGACTTGAGAAAAAGCACTGCAACATTTAGATAAACAAAAGGGTAATGAATTAAAAAAAATAAAGAGAAAATTAAATTAAAGGCAATAATCATTTTTTTCCAATTTCTTTTTATAATCGCTCCATATCAAGAATATCATTAAACAAAAACAAACATAAAGACAAAAAAAAAAAAAAAAAATAGCTAATAGGAGTGTCCTGTTTGTTATATAAATTAATTCTAAATTAATCCCCTATAAAACTCAAAACAAATATACTCACAACACGTGATTTCTTAAAGTGTAAATGTTTCCTTCCTGAAATTTGTAATCTAAAAAGCTGAATCGATAGTAATGTATGAAAAATGAACACCAAATTACGAATTTAAAAAAAAAAATGAAACAAAGAAAGATCTCATTTTGTAGGGAGTCAATTTACAATCAATTAACATAACAAACTGGATCTTCCATCTATTAAATTTTTAAATAAATAATTACTTTTTCATATTCGTGGTTTCGAATGCTTAATCTATAGTGATATGAAAACAAATGAAAAATATTATTATTTCTGGTCGTAGTGACCATTACAAAACTCTATCAATTAAATTAATAAAGAAACATGTTATGTATTGGTATCTAGAGAGAAATAGACTGAAATATGAAATTAAAGTCTTCTAGAATTTCTGTCTGCTACAAAAGGAAAAAGGAAAGAAACCAAATAAGCAAAACTATAAAGAATAGAAGTAAATAACGATTTACTTACCAGAATAAACAAGAAGAATTGTCCAGCAGAGTTGTAAAGTTGTCACAGACTTTCTTCTGACCAT